CTAAAATTCTTATGAATAGCTTGGTCCCTAACAGAAAGCATATAAAAAAAATCATTTACACATCTTTATTGCATTAATCTGCCAAGTTTGTTAAAAATATTCAGAGCCCAACCTTAACATACACCCCACCTCACCTGGAGCAGCATTAAAGATACTCTTATATCACCTTTAATTACTTTTGTTCTTTTCACTAATTTTTTAAAAAAAACACAGACCCTTAACTTACACTTGACATAATAGACAGTCTTTCATGTAGTAGGCACACAATTGTGACCTCTGACAAACATTAATTTCTCTCCCTGTACTGTTTTCAAAACCAAGCAGAACAGAAGGAAAACTGTCTCTAGGATATGGGAATATCACTGTTATACCAGTCCAATAATAGTGGTACCTATCAGCTGACAATTAGAATAGCTTTCTATTTTGAGGATAATAGTATTCCAATGTATTTTAAATTCCACTCCACAGTAAACCATGAAGTGTAGACTGTCTACTTGTTGCTTTCATAAGCCACTAAACTAAGACTCCTCAATTCATCTTGCAGCAGGACAAAAATCACTGTTACAACACACAGTCTTCTGATAGCACTGATAGAGTAGCAACGATTTTAAGTATCTCTACTACATGTTGCCAATGCAGCAAAAAAACTATCCATGCAAATTTTAACCCCTGGAGTTAAAGCCTAGTGATAGGCCAAGTTAAGCAAATTGCAAGCCAGCATTAAGGGAATTTTAACTCAATTAGGGGAAATTTCAGGTTAAAAGGCATCAACTCTGCAGCAGGCTTTTCTGGATGGTTATATTCTAACAATTTGTTTTGCATCCGTGCTTTATATTTACAAAGCACAACACTGCTGCAAGCATTGTGCTGTACTCTGTTTGCCTGTGGTCTGCCTGCTCAGCCTCTATAATTTATTAGAACTTCCCAAACACTCACTACTTCTCCCTTAAAAGCATTGTATGTGAAATACCCCCTCCTTTCCCCAAGCTGCTCCATGTTTCAGGTTAGGCCATGTCCATGTCACCACATCTCTTCATAGAAGGATGCCTGACAGACATGTTACACCCCTGCAAAGGCTCAGAGAGAGATGCAGTCTCCTGAAGTTGGAAGGTTTCTACCAGTGCTTCAACTATCAACATTTGATTTTTAATATTAGTGTGTTCTAAAACAGCGGAGCTCAGATTTTTATGTCCAAGAAAGCTATTTTACATTATTTTCTCCTTCTCCCTCCAATGTGTATATAGTTAGACTTCTGAACTACATGACACGTGGCTTTACAGGAAAAAGGATACAATGATTAGCCTGTAAATGTAACCCAAAGCATCCCTGAAATAGTCTGGTTTCCCCCCCTCTGTGAAGTACTTTATTTTTTTGCATTCTATGTGTTATATAAAGGTAAAAGGTGTGATATTAGAGGGCATCAGCTTTCTCTTAAGGCAACCCATAGGTTTCAGCTGAGGCTGCCATTTCAAAGACATGTGTATGAAGCACTACCAAATCAAGTGTTGCACCTGCTTTTATGTATATATTTTGAGAGGACTGTCAGTATAAGAGGATACTAAAAGCATACAAGTTTAAAACTGAAGACCAAATAAATGCATCATGAGTCTGGCTGTGGCAGATCACAACAGTGTTTAATAGACTTTCATGCAGGTGCAGAAAATAGCCAAATCATCCTAGTTGGTTGTTGTTGGGGTTTTTTGTGTGTGTTTTTTTGTTGGTTTTGGGTTTTTTTGTTTGTTTGTTTGTTTTTTTTTTTTACAGGGAATACTGTAAAGCCTAGAATTCCTCAACACATTTTATAGGCTCCAACAGGAAATTCATTATTACGAGTCTCTGCAAAAAGGGTAGCACTCCTGTGTCTTTTTCCTTGCATGACTGAACAAAGCTTTTCTTTATCTTACTGTGGTAAAACCACCAGCTTTCTGCCTCATAGATGCTTACAGAGGGAAAGGATTTAGCCTGCACACAAACCACCAGAGGACAGAATTGGAAGAGACTTCTGGAAATCATCTGGTCCAGTGCCCCTAACACATCAGCTAGAACTGGCTGTCCAGGACCAGGTTCATCTGGGTTTTGAATACCCCCAAGTACGGAGATTTCACAGCCTCTCTGGGCAATTTCTGATCCTACTTTATCACCTCCACAGGATAAATATTTCTTATGTTAAAACAGGGGGTTTTAGTATTCTGGCTGTGGCCATTGCCATTTGCCCTTTCACTGGTGTACCAAGAGCAATCTTAGCAATCTAAGAGCTCTGTCATCTTCCTGTGAATGGTCAAGTTCTTTTTCTCAGACAAGTTGCCATAGAGCCCAGGTTTAACTGCCTAAATAAAAAATGTCAACTGAAATTGAAGGCAAGCTCAATAAGGAAGCTAGTAGATTAAAACCCCATCTGAATAAAACAGTCATTTTCTTACACAATTTTGCTTTTTGCTCAGGGTGACAGAAATGTATATCCGGTTTATTTCTTGCCATTGCATAAGATAGTTCCTTCTTAAAAGGCTGAATAGTTCATAAAAGCAAGCATGAGTTCTCTACATAAGAGAAAACCTCACAACCTCAAACTGCACTTCAAGAGAGACCAGGAGCAAGCTACTACAAGCATGACCTATACTGTAGAGCATCACCCCATCTTTCAGATGAAGGCAACATGAAGGCAGGGGTATCCTGGCACGTTCAGAGCAGTGCAATGCTGACTGACTGTAAAGCACCATGTCACACTCTTACATCTTGAGGCCAATCACACCTGATACCGACCTTCAGTAATCTCCAACAAGTTCTACTTTTTCCTCACCTTTGATGAGGATACATTGCTACTCTTATGCCTCAGGGTATTGAAGCACTGTTACTAGAGTCTAGCAGGCAAAAGGATCCTACAAGTTCCCTAAAAACCACACTGCCTTCTAAGTGGTTAGCTAAAGAGAGTAGTATTTCCACCTTCCAACAGCACAGCTCCTCCCTGTCTCAGGGGAATGGTATAAGAAACAAATGTATAAATACTCCTGAAATTTAACTTTGAAAAAAGTTTGCGTAACTTTTTGACCATGATCAACTGTAAGCAAGCTACAGAGGCAGGAAGAGTATTTAAGGCATTGAGGATCAGATAACTGAACTTCTGCAAGTCTCAGCTCAGAAAGTCTTTGCACAGGTGAGTAAGCAGCACTTCTAGCTTCTTTTCAAGAACTGCATGATTGACTCAACTGATATAAAGGTAAAGAGAATCTGCAGTTGCTAGAAACAGGCACAGAACAAGCAGCAGGTATGAAAACAGACAGCCTGAAGCTCCAAAATTCTGATTTAGTGTTAAAACAAATCTGAGCTTAGTGATTTCCTAGGAGAGAGATGTCTGCCTCACTGGCTAACCAGACAATACAGACACGGGCTTCTCTTTCAAACTTTCTTGTAGTATAAAGAAGCTTCAGTCCTGGCCCTAGGTATGGCCATGAGAGAAAAATTCCCAGAAGCATATCCAGAATTAAAGTAATTTTTAGGTTTTTGACCTAACTTGCTTTTCAGCTCTTGCCTTCTGATGGAAGCTCACTCCAGACAGATTTTTTATTTTGGTAACTAGTCTAATTCCAATTTCTCAGCTAGCAATGTTCAACAGTGTGGCCACAACTTTAGGATTAGTACCACAGGATTTACCCAAGACTTGAATTTGAGTACTCTGGGGTTAGAAACACTAACGAAACTAACTAGCACTCTGATCTGGAGACAGGGAAAACTAGATTAAGTCTGTGTTCAATTAGCAGCTCCCATCAAAAGAGTAAAAGCTTTTTTAAAGAATAAAATGGACATATTCCAACAGGTTAAGGCATTATCATTATCAGCAAGTACCATAATGTTACCATACCACTATAAATAAGGAGTGACTCGGTATTAAGGGACTTAATACAGAGAAGCACGAGATGTCACTTAAGCTGACAGTTGAAAACCAATGCTGTTTGTGTTAAGACTAAAATACTCACACCATCTTCTCATGCAATTTGCCAGATGCTACCTGCAGGTATATTAGCACCAACTCCCACACCTTGAGCATTTAAAACTAGGCTGAGTAAGCTAAAGAAAACATTGTGTAATATTCATTTATGGTCTGGCAAAGTGAAGGACAAAATATAAACCCCATTAAATTTCCTAATTATGTTAAGGTTTTAATGTAGATATTATGACTGTGTAGGATAGGTAGCTCCCTAAATAAGCTTAAACATGAGGTTCTTAGCAGCTTCTGACAAACTTACTTTTCTTTTGTTCTTCTGAGAAGAGTAGCTTCTGTTTCCCAGACAGATAATTAGTAAGCCCTACTGGAGGGAATATTTCTTTGCCTATTGTCACATATTCTGAGAAAACATTGCTCCCTTGGTAATATCATTCAATATTTTTCCCAATTCTTTAATTTAGCACCTCTAATACCAAAATCCCATTATACATATTTTGGCAAAACTTGAATATCAACAGGACATTTGCTTGAATATGGAGCAAATACAGCCTACAGGACCTACATGCCTTAGAAGTTCTGGCTCTTGCCCAAACTTTTACCCTGTATTTGACTTGGAAAGAATGGACATTTCCACTAATCTGACGAGTAACCAGCCCACAAGCACCCAGGAAACAAAGCAATGAAAACCAATTATGCTAAGACAGAAGGATGAACTGAACCCAGTTGTCCTGAAATTCATTACTGGAGATTCTGTGTTTGCCTCAGTACATCTTGAAGCACCTTAAAGATTTGAACGTCAAGCTATTTTTTAGACAACAGATGGATTTTCTTCTTTGCTACCCTGCCTCTCCACTTTTAAGCAAATAAGACCAGCCCTCCTTTGTGAACAGCTGGGTGATTGAATTGAGATTGCATGTCTGCTAAGATTTTAAGTGACAACCTGTATTCAGACTAGACAGCCTTGTGACTGCTAACAGTGCCCTGGGACCTCAAGCTTAGGTGGCACACACATGACTTCTGGAGCTAACAGAGCTATCAAAAATAGTCAGTGTGAAGGGAGCAGTCAGGTCCAACGAATTAAATTGGACAGCTAACTGGACAAAAACTTTAGTACCACCAGGAATGATTAAATGAGAAGCTGGTGTCCGCTATTTGCTGAACAGCCAAGTCTCTGACTTCAGTGCCCCTGAAATGCAGCATAGAAAATCCAGACCCAGTTATATTTTGGACCTTCAGCCCACACCAAAACAGCATGCCAGAGATCAAAGGTGGAAATGATCAGGTGCAAACTTGACTGCAATACAATTAACATCTGTTAAAATTGTTAAGATGTTATTGAAAACTTTAGAGAAAGCCACCTTCCTAGAGCCAGGACTCACATTTAAATAGCGAATTCTTTTTCTACCCAATCTGTTCAATTTAAGTCTGACAACCATTATGATCACACACAATATTAAACTGACAAGCTCTTTTGGACTACAGAGTCTGAGGCTTCAGACAAACCATGTCTGCAGTTCATTTGTCTGTGTCCCCACACCCCAAAGCAGGCAACAGGAACAATTACCACCTTGCTGATAATCTTGAAAACCTATTTTTAATCCTGTCTCCCACTTCCATTAGGAGAATTATATTCTACCTTTAGGTACATAAAATATTAAACTGCTCATTTGCTAGAGCTTTAGCTGTACAGTTGACTTCCACAGCTTAATAACCAGGGCTCTTGTGTTCTAGTCTAGCAGAGAGCTCAATTTTCTGACTTCTTCATTGCAGAGGATGAGCTCCAGAGCATCTGCAGTAGTCTATCTTTTTGCCCTGAGGACACCCACTCAGCTCAGTCTCTGCTATATCAGCTGTCACATATACAAACCCTCAGGGGATCTATCTTCTCTTGCTGTTCTTTATCATACTTTATCACCAACAGAAATGTCTGTTTAGCAGACAGTTCGTGGGGCAGGCTGTCTCAGGTTCCAGCATGACACAAGCTCTCCTGGGCTATATATACCTCTCAGGGTATGAAGTTGAAGGGTTCATCTTCCCACAGTCCCCCACTCCAGGACACAGCCCACCAGGATGCATCTGCACCAAGAACAGGTTTTGGGAGAAGCTCTCCTTGCTGGAGAGGCTGCCTTCCCTCCACGAGCTCCTTTGGAATCTCCCAGGCCTGTCCTATCCAAGCAGCAAGCAAAGAGCCCACGGAGAGGCAGTTGGTTCCTCTCCCATCCTACTTCCATCTGGAGCCAGTTTGACTGGTACTAGGGGCTGCTGTACTCTACACTCTAAATACCTCTTCTCCCACTGCTCCCTGGAGTAGCTAGGAGACAAAAATACCATTGTCCTCATTCTTCACATTCAATTCCAGCCCCAAAATGTTTGCTGTATCTTGCTGTCCAGACATGATCCCCAAGGCACTTCCCATGAATCTTCTGCCTCTTTTTTGTGGTTCCTGTTCAAATGTCCCAAATTTCCATGTTATTTCTCCTCAGGCTTTGACTACTTTTGACCATGCAGAAACAGTTGTGAGAAAACAAGATACAGTGGAAAGCTGCAGCCATCACTGAAACATTCAGTGAAAGTCTAGTCATTTAAAACATGGAAAGACATCCCAGATAGCACTATCACGAGACACAGTTTTCGGACACTAACACACACACACTGTTTCCAAGGAATCTTGTGAATACAGCTACTCCCCCCTCCCTTCTTTTAGGAGGAGAAATTCAAAAGTATTGCCAGCACATGTTCAGTCCAGTCTTGGTCAGAGCAAAAGACAAAAATCTTTGTTAAGGCTTAGAAGGTATCTATTGCCCCTCTTTGACAAAAACTTCATAAAGTTAGACTAAATGGAAAGGTTTCCTTGGTATTAGCTATAGGCAGTGTTATAAATCCATGTGAACTTGTATTGGTGTTATTAAAAACAATCTTAGAATTTTCATCCTAAGTATACACTAAGGAGATTCATTTCATTATTCTCAAAAATAAAGTGCCAATATCAGCAAAAATTGAAGTTAAACTTGTCTCTGCTGCATTTTGTTTTACTATCACTCTCCCTTCTGTTTTTGCAGTCCTCCCTTATGTTATATAACCTAATTTTATTGTCACCAATTTATCTTCCTTGTTATTAAACTTTACATTTTACAGTAGTAGATCAAAAGTGTAATTTCTAGTGACAAGTTGCACTTCCTAATGGAAAACACATTTTAGTAAAAAACAGGATAATTTTTTCATTTTTAAGTTATAATTATTCTCTAGCTTAATCTAAAAAAGGGAGGAAGTATCTTTTACCATAACTTTTTTCTCCACATCAGCTCTGAACTTTTTATGCAGAGCTTGTAAAAAGAGGCAACGATGCAATTTAACAGTAGTACAATGCCAGTAATAAATACACTTCGATCATTTCAAGTACAAATAATTTGTGGGGAAATGAATTTTCAAATACTCATCTGCAAAACCACACAAATAGCAACTTATATTTGAATGTCTCATAGATGGTTTGTTACCCAACTCAAATAAGCTTTGAAACTGATATGTCTTTGTCCTGTAACACAGATTTTCACAAGTTTATTTAAAGGACAAAAAATGTAGCAGAAAGCGCTAGAAGAGTCCAAGGAGTCATATTATGTGTGCAAGGACCACATAACAAGCTCAACTATGTTACTGGAAAACTCTGCATCTTCACACTGGCTTATGACACTTGTTCTCAATGCTATTCAGAGTCAAGTGCACCACTTGAAGTGCTGGGTTTTAAACTCCCTTAGCACATTAAGTTTTTTAGAATGCACTTCAAAATCATGTTGGTGGGGGGGTGGGGTAATGATTTGGGTTTCAGTCTTCTTTCCTTTTTTTGAGTATTAAATGGATTTTAACAGGAAAAAAAAACACCTTTGAGCCTCACAAAAAGAGAGACAATTCAGCCAGTGCTGTTACTAGAAACCACTGGTGTCCCACACTTCCAAACACCACCATCAGTGTAACCATCAGTTCAAGTACTGTAGCATGACTTAGATCTCTGGTCTTTGTGAAATAAAAGACAGTCCAAAGTCAACTTGCAAAACTAATACTTGGCATCCTTAGAAATCAGTTGTCTCCACTTGCTGCTTCTTATATGACTCTTGAGAGACCAGTTACTCTCTCAGTTTCCCATCTCTAAAGCAGAAATAACACTATTTCTCACAAAGAGCGAACATAAGGGTAAGATGCAAGTTTAACCACGCTCCCGGCAGACCACTGGTACACCTGAATACTATGGCTGATGAGTGATGTAAGAACTTTTGAAGTACTTCATATCTGCAAGCAATCAGCCAGACAAACTTTTTACCACTCGTCAGATTCATTAGTTCTGGAGGGTTTCTATCCTTAATGACAACAGGCATCCCAGCTCCAGAACTAACAATGGCATGGCACAAGCTCTGACATACCACTCAGTGCTCAAACTCTCACTTTCTGAGTAGAGTTGCCTTTGCCATCCAAATTCAGACACAAGACAGATCTGCTCCTAGATAGACTAGGAACACAGGACCTGGAACACAGGTTCTGCTGCCTGGATGTCTACCCATGGTTCGGCTCGGTGAAAGCTAGTGACATAAATCCCACATAAGATCAGGCAATAAGACTAATTTTCGCTAAGTCCTTTCAGACAGATAGTGTCATGCAATTGCAGAGGTTTGCTATTCTCCTAAATGCATGTGACAGTGCTGTATCATTCAATGAGCTCAACAACAACAACAAAAAATGCAAGTGTTCAATCCCCCTACGCCAGGATCTTGTTAATAAGAAGAAAGAAAACCAACCAGCAACATCTCTTACTTCCTTCTAGTTTCCTAAACTTCTCAGGGGGAGAGATGGAATTGTTGAATCATGACTCATATACCTCTCCTTCCTTCTTTTTCTTTCTTAAAATGGTTCATGGCCACCACTAAGTATTGCCTATCTTCAGCATCTTTCTCATACAAGCAGAGGACATGCCAGTAGCTCACTGAACACAGGTTTCCAAACCATGGCAAGTGGAACAGATGGTATCATAGTTCAAAAACACAGACCAGCATCCATCTGTTAGTGATGGACATGCATTTCTATTTGTACACCTAAATACAGGTTTACAGTACACAAATTACTGCAACAGGTTACTGACATATCAAATATGCCAAGGTCAGACAGAAAAAAAAATTTAAGTGAAGATACAGTTTTCTAGGCATTAAAGAGGAAGTACCATTATTACAAGTTTAACATTATCAGCATTTTTTTCCAGGAACAGTACAAACCAACCATAATAGAAAAGCTTCGGTCCTCCCAACCCATAACACATACTTACCCAATCTCTGTGAGGAAGCAAAAGAAACACAGCATCAAGCCAATGTCACAAGCTATTCCTATTTGTACAACCCACCTTCTGTGCAGGCTCCCCTGTTTCTTCTTCTTGAAAATGATCTTTTGCCCAGTGGACATTATCTCCTGCTAGGCCTAGCATAAAGATAAACCAATAACCAAATTGTATTTGATACAAAAGGGTCAGTACACAGGTGAGCACTGGGGGTACAAACAAGTCAGATTAGACAAAATCGACATCAATCCCACTGACCCCAACAACAACACACAACCAATAACGGGTGGAATAAATGGTGACATGCAGTCTCTCATAGAAGGAATGAGAGACAACTGAGTCAACAAGCCAAATACATAAGACCAAGGAAGCCACACACTGAATCTCTACGACACCCACATCTACAAAAGCCAGACCTGACTGGAGCCCAGTCCCAGGGAGGCAGGAGGTCCTTCCCCAACAGGGAACTCTGCACAGTGCACCCACCTCACAGACAGACACTGCCCCTGCCTGCAAGGGCTCCCAGCTTTTACCCCTCAGTGGGACACCTGACACTTGCTTACTTCATGCAGGACCCCTGGGGCTCCTTTACCCAATGGCTCTCCCTGCCAGGCCGGCCCCACCCTGGAGGGAAGCCTAAAGGTAAACTCACCCCCCTTTGGGAAGGGCTGTGGGAATCACCCACATGTCAACCTTAATTTGGGGCTTGGGGTTGAAACCCCACTGTTTCACTAGGAAAGGGTGAGGGAATAAAGTGATACAAAAAAAAGTTAGTC